TTATGAATATTGTGTAAAACTGTATTTTCCTGCCTGTGATAATGAAGTTAGCCCATTGTGTTCTGTAATTATATTACAGGCAGAGGGGAGGATTTTGTGTGGGAGTGTCTGAGTGTATTGTACATATTAATTGGTTGTTCTGCAAAACCCTGTGGGCAGTACTATGTGTGTAAAATGTGCATAAAAGCAGAGTGTTTGATTAAAAGCTTTAGTTCTACTTCACCCTCAATTTGGAGTGCCGTCTCTTATTGGGGGAATCTGCTACAAGGGATTGCTATGCTTGCCATACTCCCTTGCTAAATCACTACTAAGCTCTTGTAAGAGCTTGTTCCTACCTTACTCTCTGGAGGAGTCTACGGTGGTTATGGTGTCTGCTGCAGTGCTTGGAGTCCTCAGGAAGCGCTAGGAGCATCCATCAACGGAGGTACCCAGTCGCGGTGCCAGGTGATCCGTTACAGCTATATTGTTGAAGGATGAAATGCCTGTAGGGAAGTGTGTGGTTGTTGTAGGGTGAGCAGGATATCATCCGCAAACAAGGTCAATTTATGTTCCATATTGCGGATTCTCATTTCTTGTATGGCTGGGCTCTGTCTGATGCATGCAGTTAGGGGTTCTAGGACTAGTATATAAAACAGTGGCGATAAAGGATTCCCCTGTCACGTTCCATTGGATAATTTGAACCTCGTGGAGACAAACCCGGCATTGGAGACCTTTGCTGATGGCTTGGAGTACAAAGCCGAGACCAGGGACATAAATGCGGCTGGGAATTCTAATTATTTAAGGACCGAGAGGAAGAAGGACCAATTTAGCCTGTCAAATGCCTTTCCTGCATCTAGTGACATGAACACACTTGGGGTCCCCCCTCCTCTGAGACCGTGCATCAAATTCACCACCTTTCTTGCCCCGTCCGAGCCATGCCTGCCCCCCACAAACCCTACCTGATTCTCATGGACAATGGAGGGGATGATTTTGGATAGCGGGGTGGTATATATTTTTGCTAGGATTTTTTGCTAGGAGTTTAATAATGAAATCGGGTGGATGTTTTGGCATCTGTCTTGGGTTTTGCAGGGCTTCAGCAGTTTGGCCACAAAGGCCTCCAGCATGTCTGGGGGATGTCGCCCGTGTCCACAATGTGAGTGCACACGTGTTTTAGTTGGGGTGCTAGTTGATTTGCATATGTTTTATAATAGAGATTAGGACCTGAGGATTTATGGGCTGGCAGCGAGCGTATAACTTGGGTGATTTCTTGTGCTGAGATGGGCGCTTGAAGCTCATTTCCTTGTGCCTGTGTCAGAGTAGGTAATGCTATGTGGCTGAGGAATTCCTCTATTTCAGTCTGTGTGGGTTGGTGGGTGTTTGGGTCCTCATGTAGATTGTAAAGTGTGTGGTAGTATTGGGCCATTGCGTCGTTGATGTCTTGGGAAATTAAGATTTCCCCCCCTGTTTGCGAAATTAGGTATGGGATCTTTGACTGGGCTTGTTTCTGGTGTAAAGTCGAGGCCAGCAACTTGCTCGCCTTGTTACCCTGGGTGTATGTTCTTTGTTTCAGTTTACCTAGTGTAGCTAACGTTTTTGCTAGGAGTATTTCGTTGATCCTTTTTGTGGTGGAGTCTACGGCCTCCTGGAGGACCTTAGATGGTCGGGTTAGGTTGGCATTTGTGTCATCTCTGAGTTTCTGTAGTAAAGCTAGATAGGTTGATTTGTGGGCCTGTTGTATGTAGGATGCATGGCTGATTATCAAGCCTCTCGCGACCACTTTGTGGGCCTGCCATAATGTGGGTGGGCTCACTTCGGGTGACTCATTGATTTTAAAGTATTCCTGCTCCTGGCCCAGTAGTTTTGAGCGGAATTGTTCGTTTTGCAGGAGGGAGTCATTGAGGCGCCATGGGCATTTTGCCTCTAAAGCTAAAGGCAGGATCACTGCGCTGTGGTCAAACCACAGGATGTCTCCCATAGTGCATGTTTGTGTGAGTGGTAACAATTTACCAGATATTAGAATGACATCTAGGCGGGAATGTGTCTTGTGAACTTGTAAGTAGAAGGAGTAGTTTCTATCATTAGGGTGGAGCGTGCACCAGACATCGTATAAGCCAAATTCCATGGTCAGTTTGGTAAGTGCTTTACTTGTGTTTTTGAGCGCTTTGCATCTTGGGGATGTTCTGGGTATTGTAGTGCCTGTGGCTGTATTGAAGACCTGATTTACGTCTCCACACATAACAAGTTTGCAATAAGGTCAGTGTGGCGAAAGTGACCTCGTCACTGTTTTTTGGAGGGCCTGTTTGCCAGCCTCCTGCCCTGCAACTATGGCCCTGGGATGTATTGCCCTTTAAGGAACTGATTTGGGAATATTGTATTTTATTATGCTGCTGCTGGCCCTTTAAGAACCATCTGGGGACATACTGTGGAGTTACTGGGTGGCCACCATTTCATGTATCAGAGGCACTTGGTGAGAACAATGGATGAAGCACATGGTGAGAACAATGGATGGTGGCCATTTTAACTCACAGACACTGTTTTGATTTTTCTACACGGTGCCATCTCGCCGGTATTTGGTGCACAAAGACATCGTTCAGTAGTTTTAAACTACAGAACAGGGGACACATTTAACAGTAATTATTTTTCATATAGCCTGTATATATTCTGCGGAATCTGCATTAAACCGTGTCTTCCAAACTATTGAACGGATCTAGGTGAATTTTGGATATGTGGTTCACCCAGATCCCCCGGTCCCAAGGATGTATTTTTTATGGGTTATTGTATGTTTTGGGGTCCCTGTGATATGTTTTATAAGACTGTATTTCTCTGCCTGTGATAATTATATTAACCATTGTGTTCAGTAATCATATCACAGGCAGAGGGGAGGATTTTGTGTGGGAGTGTCTGTGTGTATTGTACGGATTGATTGGTTGTATTTCAAAACCCTGTGGGCAGTACTATGTTTGTAGAATGTGAATAAAAGAGGCTGTTTGTGCCAGTACAGTCTGTTCTACTTCACCCTCTGCATACTCCCTTGCTATATTCACTGCTATGCTCTTGTAAGAGCTTGTTCCTGTTTTGCTCTCTGGAGGAGTCTACGGTGGTTATGGTGTCTGCTGCAGTGTTTGGAGTCCTCAGGAAGCGCTAGGAGCATCCATCAACGGAGGTACCCAGTCGGGGTGCCAAGTCATCCGTTACAGTCAGTTTAGAGAGGACTTTGTGGAGAAGGTTCAGTTGATGCGTGTTAGGGGCGTACACTCCCACCAGTGTGTAGATTGTTTCATTTAGTTTACCGTGCAGGATAAGGTAGCGCCCCTGACTGTCTTGTTTGACTTGTAGTAGGTTGAATGAGATGGAGGAGTGGAATAGGATCAAGACGCCTCTCGTCTTCGATGTGTGTGTGGCGTGGTATTCGCGAGTCCCAAATGTGGGAATTTTATTTTTTAGAAAATGGGTTTCCTGGATGCACACTATATCTGCCTTGAGTTTTTTAGCATCTTCTAGTACAACACGTCTTTTGTGCGGTGTGTTCAGGCTCCTGACATTATGGGAGTATATGCACTCGTTGTTGGGTTTGTGATAGTTTCGGTGCTTGTATATTTGCCAGGGGTCACTTTTGACTTGTATAGGCTTATGTATCGCCCGCATCCCTATCTGACCGTGTGTGGAGTCCTGTGGCACTTAACACTTCAGTGTAGGATGTGACAGACATACACTCACTCAATGACAGACATTCACTCACTCACTGACAGACACACAAGCACACACTCACTGACAGACACACAAGCACACACTCACTGACAGACATACACTCACTCACTGACACACAGACACACTCACTCACTAACAGACACACACACTTACTGACACACACTCACTGACACTCACACACACACACTGACAGACATACACTCACTCACTGACACACACACAGACAAACTCACTCACTAACAGACACACACACTTACTGACATACACACAGACACACACTCACTGACACTCACACACACTTACTGACAGACATACACTCACTCACTGACAGACAGACACACTCACTGACATACATACACTCACTCACTGATAGACACACACACAGACACTTACAGACAGACACACTCACCTCCCAGGGGTCCAGTGTGAAGCAGCCTCTCACTCCTCCTACCCGCCATTTAGAATGCCGGGGCCGAAATGACGTCATGCTAGAACAGCCTCCCTCGCCGTCTACCAGCTCCATCTACTCTCCTCACCCCTCTCACCGGCATTTAGTGGCAGAGCAGGCACCTGCCATCAAGGTAAGCGGGTGCCTGCTCTGCCTTACCTAGCTCTGCATCGGGGCCCCCCTGTGAGCCGCTCTCCTAGCACTGTGGCCCCAGACAGGGGGAGGCCACCAGGAAATATCCCGGTGGACACCCTAGGCGAATGCCTAGTTCGCCTAACCGTGGTGCCGGCCCTGCTGGCACCCAGCCGTGTGTTTTTGCTGACCCTTTGAGATAGTTATCATCCCATCATAGCTCATATCGGTGTGCTGAAGTTCCAGGTGTTTGAGGCACCTCAGTCTCTGCAGGTGGGGGGTGTGCGTAATGGCTTGTGTGGGGTCTGGCATGTATTGAGTTGGTAGGGGACATATGAGACTTGCGGTTTGGTTTGCTGAGTCATTCTTTGATGTGTGTATTAACGGCCCGTTTTTTGCCAGTCCGGTGTGATCCGCCTCTTGGCTGTTGCTGGCTTGGGAGGTATGCTGATCGCTATGTTCCATCCTGAGAGGACATGCTGACATTCTTCAAGGTTGGAGATGGAGGTGACCGTGCCATCTTTTGTTACCAGCAGCTTAGTGGGATATCCCCAGCAGTATCTGATGTTTTGCTTCTGCAGGGATTCCAAAATGGGCTGTAGCGCCTTCCGACATCGCAGCGATTCTGCTGACAGTTCCGCAAAGATTTTCACTCCAGTGTATTCCTCGGGTGGGGCCGGTCTGTTGCAGCTTGATCGGAGAATATGTCCCTTGACATGAAAATAGTGGAGTCTCAGCAGGATATCTTGTGGCGCAGTTTCCGGCAGATGTCGCGGCCGAGGGACCTAGTGCACGCTAGCCACCAACAGCATATCCGCTGGAGTCTCAGGCGCGTAGGCCCGAAGTAGGCCGCGGACATATGCATGGAGGTCACAAGGTAGGCTTGATTCGGGGACCCTCGTAGGCACAGGTTGTACGCGCTAGCGTAGTCATCCATCTTGGATTCCAAGTGTGCCGTGCAGGTCCTCAGGTCTTGGATGTCTTTCTTAATAGAATCCGCGGTTTGCTGCCAGGTAGCGACAAGTTTGTTGGTCAGTGTCTCCAGTGCTTTGGTAAGGTATGCTGGAGTGAGAGTAGCCTCGGCGCTCGGGGTCCCCAGCTCCATGGCCTGGTTGCTGTTGTCAGAGCCCTCTTCGTCGTACTGGTTTTCGGCCAGCGTAACCAGGGCTGTGGTAGCCGTTTTCTGCCCGAAAAAGTTGGTTTTGACGGCTTTGGCGGAGCTTTTCCTCACCTTGCTTTGAGACCGTATTTGTAGTTCAGTATTCTGCAGTTCCGTGCTAAAGTCCTCAGTTTTGTGGAGCTCTCTTGCCTGAGCAATTTTTTTACGTGGCCATCTTGCTCGATGGCCATGCCCCCAGCCTTTAGAATGTTTTTAGAATGGCAAAGCATCATGGAAGTTGTAGTTTTAAAGCATCTGGGGATATACCTTTTGGGCACCCCTGATCTAGACGCAGCATCATTTTCACCTGGTCTCGCTTACACCCATCTGACCTCAATCTATCTTAAAATTACACGATCTTTGACATTGGCACTTTTTATCCATTAAAAGTTTGCGTCCTATTTGATCGACTGTGGTTGTACACAAATGACACTAATGTGACGCAAAGGGCCTGCCTATTTTAAGTCTTCTAGCTTTTGGACCAGTGCCCTCTTGTGGATTCACAGCCCTTATAATAGTTTATTTCTCATGCCTGTTCATTTGTTCCTGACCCAGCTTGTTGTTTAAAAATGGTGGTGGTTTCAGCGCTTAGTGTCTCAACAGAACAGTGGAAAATATGAGTATAGGCAGCAACCTAAAATAGAGACGTTCCCTCACAGTGCGTCAAAGGAATGGAAAATCTAAAGGAAGTATTAGGTCGCGCCAGAAAATAAATATAACAAAATCAAAATATAATAATACAACAAATGGTAAAAATAAAAGTCTTAATATGTAAAACAGTACATGTAAATGATGTAGTAAGTACTTACAAATAGCAGTACGTACAAAGAAAAATAGTTGAAAAAGTCCTAAAATAAACCAAGGATATAAATAATACTTATTCTACAAGGACTGTTTCTTTTCCCTCAAGCGGACTTTACCATCCTTGGTTTATTTTAGGACTTTTTCAACTATTTTTCTTTGTACGTACTGCTATTTGTAAGTACTTACTACATCATTTACATGTACTGTTTTACATATTAAGACTTTTATTTTTACCATTTGTTGTATTATTATATTTTGATTTTGTTATATTTATTTTCTGGCGCGACCTAATACTTCCTTTAAATTTTCCAGCTTGTTGTTTACCCTGAGATTGTACAGTACTGTATTCCAATGTACTAGTCCCAGCTTGTCCTGACTTTGCTGGGTTAAATTGTGTTTCTAATGGGAAATTATATTATTGATTATTCTTGTTCTTCCTGCATGTGAAGCTTAGACTAGACAAGTAGAAAAAAAGATTTAAGATACCCATGTGGGACATTTGTGTGATATACTACACTATGAATATTGTTTTTATCTCTACAAATTATATATATATGACTTTGGCAACCAGACTCCAGTGCAAATTCTGCTCTATTTTTGTAAAGCCACTCAGGTCTAATGTAGCGTTACATGTAATCTTTTCATAGCAGAGTGGAGACAAACAAGGTCTTGTCAGCTAGATATATTTTTTGTAAACAGCATTTTGTTATTGATGCAAGGCATGTAAATGGAATCGATTGTCAGTGTGCAAATGCAAGAATATATTAAGAGCATTAGTGTGCCTGTGTGAATGCAGTGATTAAAGGGACACTACAGGCACCCAGACCACTTCAGCTCATTGAAGTGGTCTTGGTGCAATGTCCCTATTGCACTTAGTGCTGCAATGTTATACATTGCAGTACCAGAGAAAGTGCAATGTTTACATTGCAGCTCTAAGTCTGCCTACAGTGGCTGTCTCCCAGACGCTTCCTGCATTGTAACGGACCTTTGGTCGGGTATCTGTCGGTGAATGTCCTCACGCTCTGCAAGAGGACATCCAGCGTCAGATTTTTCCCCATAGGAAGAAAGCATTGATTCAGTGCTTTCCTATGGGGAGGTCTAATCTGCCAGCATCACTTGCCGCGCATGCGCATTAGTGCCTGCTCCATGTGGAACGTCGTAGGGGCGGAGATTCATCACAGCATGAGGGACATTGGCACTGGGGAGGGGGGGGAGGGGAGGGGCAGGGAGAGCGATAGTGCCAGGAATACAGCTTTGTAATATATGGAGTATTAGCGTGTTTATAACTTTACGGGTTATGTGTGTGTGAATGCAGATTATGTGTTTATATACACTTACCCTTCACTTATCAACTCCCTCTTCCATGGCATTTTTTACCCCTTGCCCTCATCTAGTCACTTTCCATTCCTTAAAATTTTTACCACTTCCTCTTCCCAGTGTCACCTCCAGTCCCCATGCAATTGTCAGCTCTCCCCTTGTTCCTTCCTCTTACTATCCGTTACCATCTCTCTCTCCCAATCAACGTGAAACAGTTACCAACATTAGAAAACTATTTTCAGGGACACTTTGGTGGCAAGTATGCACGCAGGACAGTAGTCCAAAACATGGGACTATTCTGGTAAATTTGAGACAGTTGGCAACCGTGCCACTTCCCTCCAGCATGCCTCTTCCCTTTTTAATGTTTATTTTTTTTCTAACTCCTCATAAAGGTCCCCTCATTCTGGTTTACTGGTACAAAAACTTTTGGATATGATAATAAGCACATATAGTGCAGTCTTAGGGGTCAAGAGCTGGAGCCTGAATGGTTAAGAACACACAAATAAAGGATCAATTAACCCTTTATTCACTTACCTGATTCCAGCACTGATGTCCCTCAGCACTAAAAGTAAAAAAATCAATCAATGCTCTCCTATGGGGATTTCACTGACGCTGAATGCCCTCATGCAGAATGTGAGGACGTTCAGCATTGTTTAAAAAAGTCAGACTCTGTTAGAAACTAGGAAGCGCCTCTTGTGGATGTCTTGTAGATAGCCACTAGAGGCAGTCTTAGTTCTGCAATATAATTATTGCAGTATGTCAAAAACTGCAATATTTTACATTGCAGGACTAAGGGGGGCAGGGATACTGCACCCAAACCACTTCAATGAGATGATGTGGTCTGGGTGCCTATAGTGTCCCCTTAAGGGGAAGGTGATGAGAGCCAGCTGATCCATTGTTTAGGGGGTCTTGTAATTTTGCTTAAGACTGACATTTGTTTCTTGTGTGTTCTTACCTGGGGTCCATTGGGCGGCCATTAGTTCTTTTCACTAAACTAATCCTGATGATCAGCTGATGGTCTCAGCCAATGAGCTGGTTCTGTATGGCAGGACTTAGCTCAGGAGGGTGAACTAATGAAAACTCCGACCAGGAGTTCTCCATAGAGGAAGTGACTAGCAAATTATTAACTATTACATAGAGGGGGCACGGGCACTCTTGGCACCATAACCATTGCGTGTTCTTTTTGTAGAAATGCATCTTGTGTAAAAGACCACGTTGTCTACCTTTAACTATCAGCCCTGGTGCATGCATATTGTAAACAGCACTAATTAAAACAGAGAAGCGGTTTCCCTACTTATCTCCTATATGCAAACAAAAAGAACACCAAACATTTTATAACCTGTGTGTATCTGTGACAGCATGGAAATCTTTGTATATATCAGTGTGTCTGTGTTTAGACTATGTACCTCAATGCTTTCCTGTGCCCAGCTAAGGTTTGTTTATCTATGAACAATAGGGCGCTTGTACCTTTATTTAGCAATCTGTTTCAGCAGACAATTTAAAGATAAAACATAGCCAAACATAGTGAAACAGTCAGAAAGCTGTTTGGTCATTTAGTCACAGCATATTTAGATTTTTATTTAATAAAATTCTATCTCTTTATGATTTTGGTTATTTTGTGAGTGACAAACTGATATGGATTAATGAGCACCTTTCCCCTTATATCCTGTGTCACACTACACAGTAGATTTAGTAATGTCAGGATGCTCTATTATAACAGGTGGCATTTGATCCTGATTTGTATCTTCTTCTTATTTCCCCCCATGCACTGCATATCCTGATAACACCTTGTTGGGAAGTGTTTGTTTAATCAAGTAACACCTTTTGACCAGCTAATGCCAAATGTGCTTTAAGTTCTTTGAATATGCAATTGACAGGACATGACTGTATTATGTGAAGACAACCCCTTTTGGATGTGTACAGAATTTTGTTATAAGATCTGTGTTAACCCCATTAAAATTAGGAGTAGTATTCTGCCATACACTTGTGTGAATGAGTACTGCCCTCCGAGCTCGTATTTCTGCTGTGTCCATTCCTTGTCTTCATACCTGAGAGAAAACATTGCTGTCTGCTGATTTTAAACCACAACAATATGGTGTCAGAAGTGGAGAGAGAATCCAAATCGGGTAAGAACATTTTGTGTTTTATTTTTGTGTTCTTTGCCCTGTTTGGATTCTCTGAACAAAATTTTGTGGTTGCAGAAAAGTAATGTTTTCTTGTTTTTGTTTTGCCTTTCTTTTTGTTTTTGTTATAAATATGGGTTAGAGTCCCATGATAAGTATGGGTTAGAGTCCCATGATAAGTTTGGGTTAGAGTCCCATGATAAGTTTGGGTTAGAGTCCCATGATAAGTATGGGTTAGAGTCCCATGATAAGTATGGGTTAGAGTCCCATGTTAAGTTTGGGTTAGAGTCCCATGTTAAGTTTGGGTTAGAGTCCCATGATAAGTTTGGGTTAGAGTCCCATGTTAAGTTTGGGTTAGAGTCCCATGTTAAGTTTGGGTTAGAGTCCCAGGTTTGGGTTAGAGTCCCATATTAAGTTTGGGTTAGAGTCCCATATTAAGTTTGGGTTAGAGTCCCATATTAAGTTTGGGTTAGAGTCCCATGTTAAGTTGTATAAGAGAAACATTTATATTTTCTGGGTTAGAGTCCCATCTTGTCGGTAAGTTGTATATAGTAGGTATAGCAGTCCCACTGAGTGACCACATTTAGTCACTGTATTGAATGCACAGTTTGGACACAGTAGAATAAATCTTATTTTTGTTTATTGCAGCGCTGCATGTATAGTTGTATTGTTAAAAAAAAAAGCTTGCATTGCTTATATATAAAGTGTTATATATTGTAAAGTGTTATCTGTGTGAAGTTGGAAATGGGCTCCAGTAAGGGTAAAAAAAAAAAAATCCCAAGAAAAATCTGTAAAATTTAAATCATCTAAAGATGTCCCTAATAGTGATGTGTCACGTACTCCCCAAGTCAAGTCTCAGGGTCCTCGATTAGGCCAAACTCCATGCCATTTTGTTCAAGAAACTATTGGAGATTACTATGCTGAGCCATTTTGTACAAATTTAGTTGTATGGTCAGATAATTTTGATACAATGATTTGTAATCCATGGCCAAGAGAGGGTTCTTTTAGTGATTTTCATTTGCAAATGCTGAAAGGTATGTGTATTAAAGGTTTTAAAAAGTGGGGTCCAGGTGGAGATCCAAAATGGGATAAAAAGTATATGCATAATGCAGCTACAGGATGGTTAAAGAGTGCTCAGTTATGGTTTGTTCCTGATCAGGCTACAAAGTATGTTCAGGCCTCTGCAGCATCACCTGCTTATGTGCTTTTTGTTGTACCATTATATCCCAGTTTGGATGAATTAAAAAAAGATTTTTCGGAATATTGATACTGATGAAATTTTTATGGCGATTGGTAGAGGGAAAAGGCATGTTGGATAGATGGTTGTGAATCCTTCTGCAATGGTGAGATCCACTGCAGAAAATGTTGAGGTTGGTATGAAAAATGAGAAAGTGACTAGAAAGTCTGTGGATGTTGGGGCAGGGAATAAGCATGTTGATAGTGTTTTAGTGGTGGATGAGGGTTATATAAGAGTCATGGTGTACTAGTTCCCAGTCATGTGTCTGCTTCTACCTATCCTTTTGTAGTTGCTGGTGAGACTGTTATAATTAAGCCTCCCTATGGATCACATTTGGTGTCTCTTAGGACTCAGTGTCCTGATCCGTTTAAGCTTCCAGAAGGCGCTATTAATTATTTAAAAAGGGTAACAATGGATCAACAATTTGGAGGGGCAGATTTTTGTTTTTTTATTGTCTGTTGTTTTTAAATATGCTGATATTTCACCAACAGAAATGGCTCTTAATTTGGACACCAAATATGATAGACCTGGTACTGATGTAGGTTGGTTCTGTGTATTTTGGGCTGAGCAAGATTTTGTGTCAGAGTTTTGAAATCAGTTATTGGTTTATTTTCCTTTGTGGTTTTGCAGTTGTACAAATAGCTAATAGTGTAATAGCGGCAGGTTCTTAACCTTTTGTCTCAGCGCAGGCAGCAGAGTTGATTGCTCTTACACAAGCTTGTATTGCTTTTAAAGATCAAGATGTGACTATTTATACTGATTTGAGATATGCCTTTGGAGTGGTTCATGATTTTGGTGTCATTTGGCAGGCTAGAGGCTTTGTTGCAGCTGATGGTCGAACTGTTTCTCATTTTGCATTAATTGATGGATTATTGAGGGCCGTACTGTTGCCTAGATCTTTAGCTATTGTGAAGTGCAAGGGCCATGATACAGATCACTCCATGGTCAGAGATGGTAATGATTTTGCAGATTTGGTGGCGAAAAGGGCAGCTGCCTCTTTTCCTTTATGGGCAGATTACAGTACTGTTTCTTTTGACCAGGTCTTAACTGCATATAGCCACTCATACTGATGATACTGATATTCTTTCTATGCAGGCTGCATCATCTTCGGATGACTTAGCTTACTAGAGTATACATTCTGTTACACCTGATGCAAGTTCTGGTATCCTCAAGGATCATAAAGGTTGCATAGCAATCCCTCAAGCTTTTTCTGTGTTACTCGTCCGACAGTTTCATGGCTATGGACATGTCGGACGAAGAGGGGTATTGGCTATGCTAAATTAACTATTTGTAATTAACAGGTTAGATCAGACAGTTATCAATATTTTTATCCAGGTGCTTAACATGTGCAAGAGTTAATACTACCAAACCACAGTTACCTCCAGTGGTAGGCCCAATGTTAATTTTACAAACTGACTTTATGCATATGACAACGGCAAAAAGTTGGACTTAAGTATTTACTTGTATTGTAGACATGTTTTGGCTGCCCAGTTATGATTAATAGTAATAAAGGAACTCCTTTCACTTCAGCAGTTACACAGCAGGTTTGTAAAATGTTGAGTATAGATTGGAAATTTCATATACCCTATCACCCTCAGTCATCAGGGCAAGTAGAAAAGATGAATAGAACGATCAATGAGAAATTGACAAAAGGAAGCTTGGGTAGCACACGCAATTGGCCAGACAATTTGCCAGCAGTTTTAGCTGAGATCAGAATGACCCTTAGTTCCACTACGGGTTATTCACCCTTTGAAATTTTAATGGGGAGACCTTTTCCAACTTCATGGTGTAAGTCCAAAGGTGCTTCGATGGTGAGCGGAGACCTAAATGTTGTGTTATATGTATTGAACCTTGTAGACACATTGAATGGCATCTATGGTGATTTGTCTCTATCTCTTCCTCATCCTTCAGGTACTACCACACATCCGTTCAGGCCTGGAGACAAAGTCTTGGTGAAGACCTTCTTCAAATCCGGAACCTTTGATCTACCGTACAGCCCTCTGACAACCGTTGTTGCCATCACCAGAAGAGCCGTTCTGACCGAGGAGAACCAGATGTAGATTCATGCAAGCAGATTAAAAAGATGTCCCATCAAGCACTCTGGATATTCCAAGCAAAGAAGATCAACCTCAGACTGATCCAGAATGAACAATAGTGCTCGGTGCAACCTAATTATTCTTTTTTCCATGGGACTTGGTTATGCGCTGATTAATAGTATTTGATCCCAAAGAACAGTGATAGTAAAATGTGTTATTAATATATTTCACTCTAAGCAGGCTTTATCTTCTTCATCATGGGAAACAGACAATCATATTATTGGATCTGTAAAGAATTTATACCAAGCCCTAAATTTAACTAATTGTTTAATAAACCTTAATTCGTCCAGGAGGGAGGGACGGTCTTATTATAGCCATGGCTCCCTGGAGATTTTCTTCAGAAATAACGGTTCTGAAGTTTTTTTTCTTCCCTGAGTGCTATAATAGACAATTAATTAATTTACTGATTTGTTATTCTTTCAGAATAAAAGATTGGAATGATATGGATTAATGAGCACCTTTCCCCTTATATCCTGTGTCACACTACACAGTAGATTTAGTAATGTCAGGATGCTCTATTATAACAGGTGGCATTTGATCCTGATTTGTATCTTCTTCTTATTTCCCCCCATGCACTGCATATCCTGATAACACCTTGTTGGGAAGTGTTTGTTTAATCAAGTAACACCTTTTGACCAGCTAATGCCAAATGTGCTTTAAGTTGTTTGAATATGCAATTGACAGGACATGACTGTATTATGTGAAGACAACCCCTTTTGGATGTGTACAGAATTTTGTTATAAGATCTGTGTTAACCCCATTAAAATTAGGAGTAGTATTCTGCCATACACTTGTGTGAATGAGTACTGCCCTCCGAGCTCGTATTTCTGCTGTGTCCATTCCTTGTCTTCATACCTGAGAGAAAACATTGCTGTCTGCTGATTTTAAACCACAACACAAACATTAGCATAATTTTGCAAAGTAATGACAAACAAAGCATTATGCCTTGTAAAATAATTTTGGGCTAATTCCAAGCTTGAGTTCAAAGCTTTAACCCCTTAGTGACCAGACCGCTTTTCAATTTTCTTACCGTTTGAGACCAGGGCTGTTTTTACATTTCTGCGTTATTTGTGTTTAGCTGTAATTTTCCTCTTACTCATTTACTGTACCCACACATATTATATACCATTTTCTCGCCATTAAATGGTCTTTCTAAAGATACCATTATTTTCCTCATACCATATAATTTACTATATAAAAAATTAGAAAATATGATGAAAAAAAATTAAAAAAAAAACACTTTTTCTAACGTTGACCCCCAAAATCTGTTACGCATCTACAACCGCCAAAAAACACTAAATAGTGCTAAATAGTTTCTAAATTTTGTTTAGAAATACTCAATGTTAACATGTTCTTAGCTTTTTTTTTGTTGCAAGTTATAGGGCAATAAGTACAAGTAGCACTTTGCTATTTCCAAACCATTTTTTTTTTTCAAAAACGGAATCCCTGAATAACCCTTCACATGTATATATTTTTTAAAAGAAGACCTTGTCTTGTATGCAACAAAAAACGGAGAAATAAAGTAAACAGGGTGCAGGTTAGGAGTCCGGATACAAGTCAAGGGCTTGTGAGCTGCACCACTGTAACCACCTAATAGAGAGTTCCAATGAGGGGGTAACCCTCCAAAATATGTAGGTAATAGGAGTAGGTGATGTGTAGAGTCCCACAAGGGGAAACCAACATCAGGAGAGCTCCACTGTATAAGAATTGAGGAAGGGAGGCCCTACCTTTAATCAATATAAGGATAAAAAGGGATATGCAAACAAAAAGTATAACTTGAAAAAAAGGGAGATCTAATAAACGGTGCCTAGGGGATCAATTGTCTGGAGTACTAGCTAGCATCTAAGTTCCAATTCCCCTAGTGTCCGACTGAAAGGAAGGTAGTGTAAACGAGGTTAGGGAGAGAGAAGAGGCACAGGGTCCCCAGAGAACAAGGGACC